CCAGATGCTAAAGTAATTCCATCTGGTGAAAAGAATACTGATTGGACAGAATTAGTATGACCATCCAATTTGGCTTTTTATTATCCTGTTTTAACATCCCATAAACGGATTGACTTATCATAACTGCCAGATGCTAAAGTAGTTCCATCTGGTGAGAAACATACTGATCGTACACAACTAGTATGACCATTCATTTTTGCATTTTATTATCCAGTTTTAACATCCCATAATCTAATTGACTTATCGTCACTACCAGATGCTAAAGTAATTCCATCTGGTGAAAAGCATACTGATTGGACAGAATTAGTATGACCATCTAATTTGGCCTTTTATTTTCTTGTCTTAATATCCCATAAAATATTGACCTATCATAACTGGCAGATGCTAAAGTAGTTCCATCTGGTGAGAAGCATAAAGATACTGATCCGTCATAACTCCAATGACCATCTAATTTGGCTTTTTATTATCCTGTTTTAACATCCCATAAGCGGATTGTATTATCCCAACTACCTGAAGCTAAAGTAATTCTATCGGGTGAAAAGCATACTGATCCGACATAATGAGTATGACCATCCAATTTATTCAACTCTTGGATTTTTATGTTTCTTCCATTTACAATTAATAAGTAGAGCAGCATTTAAATTCACTCCACTTATATCTACATTTTCAAATTCAGATTAGCTAAAATTACACCTGACAAAATTTGCACCAATTACACCAGTATTCTTTATTCGGATATCTTCAAAGCATTGGCTTGTCAAATCAACCTGCATACCTACTAATAAATTAAGTCCATTTGTCCCACATTAAATAAAACTTTCATCTACGCTTGTGAGTTGAACTAAAAATTTTAACATTTACACTATTTAATCATTTTTTGATATATTTTTTATTAAATCTTTTCTAAATTCTTTATAGAGGTTTTTACAATAATTTTTATGATTAAAGTCATGATCTTTAAGTTATTTTAAAATATCACTTATTATCTTCATTTTATTTTTCACCAC